ATTTCCTTTGATTTTTTTTCATCTGAAATGTTGCACTCATGGTTCATCTGTGTAGTTGCTTTTGGCTGGATTTCTTCTTTTGTGGGATTGAAGAGAATTCCATTCTATGTATACCCCACTATTTATTTATCCATTGCTCTATACAGGAATGCTTAAAAAATTTCATCTCATTAATCCTGCAATGAAAACACTAAGTGCAGGTATTTCTTACATTTCTTTATTTCAATTCTTTTATTTGATGCAGGTTTTGTTTTATCATGTTTTGATTTGTTTTTTCCCTTACACTTACTGAAGAGTGAACTGTGTAATGTGCAACAAATCAGCTCTAGTCCCATCTCCTTTTTGTCAATCATTTTGAGACAAGGTCTCACTGAATAGCTTGGGGCCAGGCTAAGTTGCTGGGGCTGGCCTTGAACCTGTGATCTTCTGCCTCAGCCTCCCCAGTTACTGGGATCACAGGTGTGCACCACCATGTCTTTGCCTTATATTGTAGATAATAGGAATAAGAAGAAGTTATATAAATTTGTCTTGTAAATGTGTTATTTAGTTGCATTGAACCCCAGAAAAAAAAACCCTCTGTGGATTTGGTTTTATAAGGATTGATATTTACACACCCTACACTATAGGAGATTGAGATAACTGCAAATATTATGTTAACCTATTCTTTTCTTAATACTGGTGAGTCTTTAAAGGATGAAGCTATTTTATGCCTTAGTTGGGATTAGAAGCATTTTTTGTGATAACAAAACCAAATCCTAATGCTTTAACACATACAATTTTATTTCTTCTTCACCTACTAAAGATTGTGAATTTCTCTAACGCAGTTGTCCTCCATGGGTTACTCAGTATGACCCTTTCATCTCAATGTTCATCTTTCCCCTTGCTGCAGGAGGGGAAAAGAAAGCTGTGGATTAAGAATTGGGTGCTAATTAGTTCTGTCTGTATGGGACATGTGTCAGTCACTTCTGCAAACATGATTCTACTTAAAAGAATGTGGACAGAAAGTAAATCTTTTGCACATTGACGCTTCATGATCACCAGATGGGTTATCCATAACTGAGAAAATCTCAAGTCCAATTTGAAATCAATGTTTTATTAACCTGCTGAAAGTCATCTGCATGTAATATATACAGAGTCGTTGGTTTCATCCTGACACATACATGCATGCATGGGAATCAATTTCAGTTCAGGATCCCCCCTTTTCCTTCCCCTTTCCCCTCCTGTTCTCTCTCCCTCTTTCATTCTCCTTCCTCTACTTCCTTTCACTGATCTATTAATTTGTGTTTGGTTGGATTCTCATGTTATCTTATCTTGCCCTCCACCTTTCTTTTATTTTACTCTAGCTGCTGCATATGAGAGAAAATATTTGACTTTTGAGTTTCTGAGTTGAATAATTTCACTTAACATAATATTCTGCATTTATACCCTTTTTTCCTGTAAATGTCATTCCTTTTGATGGCTGAATAGAACTTCATTATATATGTATACTTAACAAAAGACACAGGTTCTGAAAAGGAGCTCTTTTTAATTCAATCTATGTGACAGTAGAAGTGATGACTATAAGATTTGCAGGACTTGTTTTCTGGTCTTAACCTTAATTTTTTTTCTCTTTTTTCCTCCTTAAATTTGAATGTGCAAAAAGTCTGCCTTGATTATTCAGATATCATCAATTGTGTGTGTGTGCATGTGTGTGTGTGTGTGTGTGTGTGTGTGTATGTATACACACATGTGCACATGTGAGCTACCTTTTTCCCTATTACCTACCACAAATTCAGCCCAAAAGAGCTATTTGGGAGGTACAGTAATGTGTAGGAAAGTTTTCCCCAAAGTATCTTTTATCTGAGAAATAATGTCCAAGACCATGAAGAAATGTCTGTATCTGGAAGAATTTTAGATCCCTCCATGTCTTTTGTTAGAGAAAATAATTTTTGGAAATAGGAAGATTTTAAGGCAATTGGTACCCCTTAGAGTTGTGCAAGAAATATACTTAATTTATGGATGTGCCCTGTCTCAATGATTCTCATTTCTCAAAACCAATTCATTTATGATTGTTCACTGTCTTTCATAGGAATAGTGACCTGATTTTGATGGATGGTATTTATACTGTGCAGTACAAATATTCAGCTATTAAATATCTTTGTTGAAATACTGCAACTACCTGGCCTGTTGGACATACAAGTCACCCAAAGCTTTGTAGACACTCGTTATACTGCATACATAAGCTATTGGATTTACACCTGTAATGAAAACTTTATGCTGGCTAGCAAAGTCGTTTTGGTCAATAATCCATGAATGTCAAGGAGTTTCTACTTTTAAGTGGACTTGGTTATATTTCATTCTATTCATATGAATTATTGCCCAAGATGATTCTTTGGCCCCAGAGTTTCCTAATAGCATTTTTCACTTCCGTGTTTCTGAGAGTATAGATTAAAGGATTTAACATGGGTGTCACCATAGTATAAAACACAGCCACCACTTTGTCAATGGGAAAGGTAATCATGGGCCGAAAGTATACAAAAATACAAGGTACAAAGAAGAGGATGACTACAGTAATGTGGGAGGCACAGGTGGAGAGAGCTTTCTTCTGTTCTTCATGACTGCGAGTCTTTAGAGAGCAAAGAATGAGGACATAGGAGGTGATGAGAATAGCAAAAATGAGCATGCACATCAGCCCACTGTTGGCAGCCACAAAGAGATCAAAGACATAAGAGTCTGTGCAGGAGAGTTTCAGGAGGGGGAAAAGGTCACAGATGAAATGATCAATGACATTTGGGCCACAGAAGGGCAAACAGACAATGAAAAGAGTTTGAATCAGACCATGAAGAAATCCTCCAGCCCAGGCCACAGACACCAGGAGGCCACATACTCGCCTGTTCATTGTGATCATATAGTGCAGGGGCCTGCAGATGGCCACATAGCGGTCATATGCCATCACTGTGAGCAGAATGATCTCAACTCCCCCAAAGAAATGTTCTGCAAAGAGCTGAGTCATGCACCCACTAAAGGAGATAGTTTTCTTTTCAGCAAGTAAGTCAAATATCATTTTAGGGGTCATGGTAGAAGAGCAGCAGCCATCTACAAAGGACAAGAAGGACAGAAAAAAATACATGGGGGAACCCAAGGCTGGGCTGGTGATGATGGTCACAACAATGAGTAGGTTGCCTAGCAGGGTGAGAAAGTAGATGATCAAAAATACAACGAAGAGGAGTTTCTGCACATGTGGGTCCTGGGTCAGGCCCAGCAGGATGAATTCTGTCACATTGTTCACTTGCTCCATGAATCCACTATGGTGTTGGTGTAATTGATTGATCTGTGAAATAGTACAAATATTTAAATTGTGGCAAGGTTTGAAGAATGAAATAACTTGGAATAGAATATTTTTTGTAACACTGAAAAAAGCACAAAAAACTCAAGACTCAAAGTCAAGCAATACTATTAGTTATAAAATGAACACATAGCCCTCTTCTTTCTTACACAAAAACGTGGGAATGCACACCTGCACATGCACACACACACACACACACACCAAATTCATTCATATGTATAAGCATGGTTTTATGACACTGCCTTCCCTGTAATTGTACATGTATGGCTACTCTCCTAATAACTGCCACAGTATTTTCCTCAAAGAAAGAGGAACATAGAGAGAGCAGTCCTTTAAATCCATGGGAGTCTACACTGGACTCTGTTCTGTATTCACTGGGATTGATGAAGCTACAGAGAAAGTTGTCAGTCTTGTTATTTTTAACTCGTTTTCAAGGTGAGTATAAACATCAGATGTGTACAATTTTAAAATTGGAGATGAAGCATTAACATAACAGAATCAAATGAATTTAAGGAATGCTTAAAGCTACAGTAAGATACATCTGCCAGTTTTATGTTTTATTTGTGGCTTCATGCTACAATTCAATGACTACGAATACATATCATGAAAACTAAAACATTCTGGAAAAAGCATGTCTTCTGCAAAAAAAAAAAAAAAAAAAAAAAAAAAAAGTTGATATAAATCCGAATGTCCAAATTTACTTAAAAATTCAGAATTCAATCTCTGTTGATCATCTGTCATGTTTGGATCACAGGACATTTTGCAAATGAAAATCAAGGT